GACTCGGCGGCGTACCAGACTGCGCTGATGATGACGAGCAAGCCGAGGAAGGTGATGCGCAGAGGGTTGCGGTGCATGAGTTGGGGGATGGGAAGCTGAATGACGTTGACCTTCTCATCGGAAGAGATGCTGGTGTGGTCGGCAGTGTTCTGGGTGGCGGTGGATTGCTGGAATGCAGTTCCCTTTGCCTGCTGATCTTGTACCATCGCAATCATCTTCTCCATCTCGCTGATCTTGTTCTCGTTGTACGTGGGGTCGGCGTGAGACACCTTGTCCTCCAGGCGTTCGATGCCCTGCTTGGCGGAGCGAATGCTTCGAAGCCCATCTGTGAGAGTCTTGGTCATTCTGTCGATCTGCTGCATCGTGTGATCACGTTCGTCACTGCTCAGGTTGGCGCTGTTCGCAATTTCCTCACGCTTCTCGTTAATCTCGTCAAGCATGCTCTCCACGGTCTCCTCGGTCTCAAAATCGGGGGGCAGAGGCTTTTGCAAGTTAAACATTTCCTCCAAGTCGTCCAAAGTCGAGTCCTCGATTTGATGGCGGCGCTGAAGCTCCAAAAGGTCGTCCTTCACGGTCGGTGGCTTCACTGAGTTCATCAATGGTCGTCGAGGTCTAGATGTGGATTTGCGCCGGCGGAGCACAGAGGTCGTGGTCGTGCCTGCGGTGTCTTGCTCCTTCTGCTCGCTCGATTCGGATTCGGATGCGTTGGCATTGGAGATTGATCGCCCTCTCAAGGAAGCGCGGGAGTTTCTTCTGCTTGATGCTCGGCCATGGCTCGTAGAAGGTCTGGCTTCAGACTTGATGGCTGACTTGAGCTCCTTCTCCTGTATCTTGTCGACCCGAACCGTTGCGGGAGTGTCTACGTATGCGCCTGTAACCTTTGGGGTAGGGAGAGAAAGTGGGTCCGTCTTGACCGGGCGAGGAGTTTCCTCAGCGAGGAGGTCCTTATCCTCCTCAGAATCAGGCTCGATCGATGGCGGTCTGGTAGAGCCACGTTCAGATTGGCCGTCTGTGGGCGCAAATAGCATGATCTCCTGCTCGATGCGATCTGTCGGATCGCCATCGGAGGACGCCATGCTCTTCCTGCTGTCCTTAGAAGATTCAGTCGAGCGTTGGCGTCGTACACGGCGCAGACCAGCAGACACTGGCCGCGCAGCTTCGATGGTTTTTGGCTCGTCTTTGGAGCTGCTTGAGGCCTCATCCGACTTGGGAGTTTGGTCCAGCTTCTTCAGAGTGTCGTTGCGGTTACGTCTCGTGACTTCTGCCTTTTCTGATTCCGATGTCTTGGGACGATCTTCGTTTCTGCGACGAGGGACGTATGGCTTTCTGGCGGGTTCCTCAGCCTTCTTCAGGTCCTCTGTCTTCTTCGGTACCTCCTCGACCGGCGCTGTCTCGGCGGATGGCTGATCCTTTGTCTCCTTTTCCTCGACCACCTCTGCCGTCTGCTTCTCCTTGACCAACGGCTCGGCGACCACTGTCTTAATGGCCTCCTTCGGCTCTCGCCCCGCAAGCCTGTCTTGAGAGTTACGCTCAATATCCTCCGCAAAACCCTCGCGAAGTCTCTCAATGGTCCTAGCCGGGTTTACTGTCCGTGACGTTGGTCTCTCCTCCTCGTGCTTGGTGGTGTTCGGCGGTTGGGTATCCTTCTCGGTCTTTTCGTCGGTGGCTGCTTGGGGCTTGACCGTCTCGGGCGCTGGGCTTCCAGCTGGGCTACTGCTAGCAGCTCTGGAGAGCCTTTGCAGCAGATCTCTTGAGTCTGTTCGGGTGTGCTGCAATTGAGGTCGGCCGGGCGACTTCGGGCTCGCCACTTTCGCCTCCGGATTCGTCTCTCTAGGCGCGCCGGCATTCTTGTAAATAGTGACAGGGGTGTTTGCAATGTGTTCGCCTTCGTCCTTATTCGTAGGCTGCCAAGCTTCTCTCTTGCTCTCTCGGATAGGTGTTGACTCTTTGTCGACTCGTTCGGCCTCCGGCGAGAACTCTCTGGACATTGAGTTCCGCTCTCGAATCTCTTCCAAGCGGCTTTCAGCCAAAGCCTTCTTCGACACGGATTCTGCCTCTCGCACTCGGATAGTGTCGAGTTTGGAGTTTTTCGGTCGGGGATATTCCCTGACAGGCGGCGCGAGATCATCCTCGTCGGGTGTAGGATAGTATGAGCGTGTCTGGGCCTTCGTCTTGGCCAGCTCCTCCTCAGCCTCGGCCTCTCTCTCGCGAATCTCCTCCAGTCGGGTGTTCCTTCCCCTCGATTGGCTCCTGCGCAGCTCTGCCAACTGCTCGTTTGCCTTCTCTTCACGTTGGCGAATCTCGTCAATCTTACTGTTGGTCCGCGCTGCCCGTGATGAGAGGGGTCCGGCAGATGCTTCCCTCCGGAAAGGGCTTGATTCGGGCTCTTCTGCGTATGCGCTGCCATTGGAGAATCGTCGATTGGAGGCATCGTCGTATCCAGAGCCGCTAATTCTAATGCGCGGGCTGTCCGAGATCTGAAGGTCTCCGGCAGTGAAGTCGGCATCCAGCTGCCAGGCGAAGCTCTTCTCCGGCGATCGCGCCTCAGGGTTCGTAGAGCCCGGTCGCGAAGTTGGGGGTGTCGGTTCGAGTGCTTCAACGGAAGGCAGTGGCGTGTTGGCAGCAATTTCCCAGTCCGGTTTGGGTGTTCTCTTGATGCCCTTGTCGTCCTCATCGAGAAGATGCTTGATCCAACCTTCCGGGACTGAGCTCTTGGCAAACGCCCTAGCACCAGGGCTGCTACCCAAACTGCCGTAGCTTGTCTTTCTACCCAGGTTTGGGCTGGTGCCATTCAAGCTCGAGTTGCTCGTTCGCTTCCCGAGTGTCTGGCCTCCATTCAAGCTGCTGTTACTCGTGCGCCGCCCAAGCCCGGAGCCACCGTTCAGGCTGCTGTTGCTCGTCTTCCGCGCTAGTGTTCGACCGGTGTCCGCGATGTACGGCCCGACTCTCGTGTTGCCGAAGAGGTTTTCTGGCTGGCGGGCAGCGCTGGGCGACTCGGCCATCTCGCGTTCGTACTGGCTCAGTCGGCGGGTGAAGCTGCCGGAGCTAGAGCCGCTCTGCGACGCTGGACTTCCGCTGTATCCACCATAGCGGGCGACGTAGCTGTCGCGCAGCGAGTCGCTGGACAACCTGGAGAGGGGTCGGGCACGGCCGAAGTCGTTGGGTTCCTTGTTAAGGTTCTGTCGAACTTTGGCCTCTTCAGCGACCTGTCTGTTGTGGAAAGGGCGGGGCGCAGGGCTCGGGGAAGCGTCGACGGCAGGAGACGTTCTGCGCGTTCTCTCGAGAGGGCTGGGGCTGGGTCGGTCTTCTTCTCCCGCCAACGCCCAAACATCGGCTACGGAAGGAACCTTGCCCTTGGCGAAGACTCCAATTGTAGATTTGGGGCGGGGAAGTCGGGATCCAGGCGAAACAACATCGGCCGAATGGTTGGAACCGACTGACGGCGTCTGGGACATCGAGCTTGAGGGTCTGGGAATGGCGGCAGCAGCAGCTCGTGAAGGTGGTCGCATGGAGGCAGAGCTTGGAGGTCGGGGAATACCAGCTGCGCGAGAAGGTGGGCGCGCGTTCGTGGGGGAGAAGCCATAACGGTTTGTTGTTGCTGACGCTGCCGGGGCAGTGTCTCTTGGGTTGAGCGTCTCGCGCGACGGCTTGGAGAACAGCGGCTTGCGGCCCTCTTGGTCGATAGTCAATTGGGCTGAAGCACGGCGGTTCGGTCGCGCCCCGAACTGACCCGGGGCGGCTGTATCGTGGTTCATGGCGGGTAAATCTTGGGGCCACGTTCTTTGGTTTTTGGTGGTGTAAGGCGTCAAGCAGCGGGAAGCTGCATGGTTTTGCGATGCGATGCGATTCGGCGACAAGTCGCGTCAAACACAGTTGACGCGACGTGAAAGATCAAAAATCGAGTCGCGGGTATGCTATGATTCGGTCGAGGTCATGTTCGTCGCGGCGATTCGCAGTCATCAGGGGAATATTGATCGCGCAAAAGGAGAAGGATAATAATTTGGGACGGAGAGCGAAAGTGATTAACCGCGTCTCCCACTAAGCAGCGACCGGGGGGTGCTCCCCTGGGCAGGCGTGAGCCACCGTGGGACCTCTTTCCTCCTTGAGCTAAACCCCACACGGCCCCTCCCAAATATCGGCGCGGAAGAACCATTTCGGAAATGACTAATCGGAAGCTGCCGGTGCAAGTGGGGCTCGTGCATGCGGTTCCTGAGTTCTGGACCCTGATGGCCGATTTTCAAAACGGTGCAAACCGTTGAGAAACGCCATGACCGTTTGGCTTTTTCCTGTTCAGCTTCTGCAACGGCTGCCTTTTCCTTTTTTGTTCCGTAGGATCCGAACCATGTCTGCAAACCATGGCTATGCCCCAGTCTTCAGCTGTTCAGCTGGAAAGGAGAGGCCTCCACAACTCATTGCAGCTCATATCTCAAGCGAACATTGGAAGATTGCGCGTCGTGAGAGACCCGGAGGCCGACTGCCCCTGCATCAGTATCAATATGAAGACGGCACAACAGGAAGCTATGCCTCTCTCAGTCGGGGACCCCTTGCATCAACAATGCCCGTGCACAAGAGCTTTGTGCTCACCAGCGCGATAAAACGGAGGGATGTCCACGCCTGTTTTTATTGACACTGCGTGAGCTTGGACCAATCGCGACTCAACCTCCCTGCTGTTCATTTTTAGCAATTCAACTCAGGGTCCAACCGCCATTGTCTGCAACTTGAGAGCTTGAAAGACCGCTCCAAGTTGCCTGCCATGAAGCCTCAACCCACAGTGGCCCGGCCATGTGGCTACATGTAGGCGCCACAGACATACCCAATGCATTGCGAAAGCCTCTGACGTCTGCTACTACAGGGAGAAATACTCCACGGCACGCCACTCTCTGAATTTCTACCATTGTGTCTCCGTCACGGGCCGGTACGCGGTCCCACCTGGCACTGACAATGCCACGCTGAGAGACACTCTTCAGCGGGCTGTTGCACAAGTCGTCCTGGAGCAGCCCATGTTGCGGGTCGGAATCATCGATCAAGACAAACAAAGCACAAGCTTTGTTCATATCCCACGTGTCGATCTGTCGGAACATATCCAATTGTTCGGGCCATCGAGGCCAGACGCAGTGGACACTACCCTGAGCAAACATCTATCATACCAGCATTCCCAGCTATGGCCAGATATCGAGCAGCGCCCACCGTGGAGGGTCTCCATCATCCCAATTTTCAATGGCGAAGAGACGCCATCCGAGGTTGAGATCATCTACGCTTTCCACCATGCCATTAGCGACGGCACCAGCGGCTCCATCTTCCATCAAAGACTCCTCGAAGCGCTGGGCCACCCCATGAAAGACATTCCAGGCCTGGAAGGGAAGACGATCGCATTTCCAGAACTGCCTGTGCTACCGCCACCGCAACATGAACTCGTCAGCTCGCGACTTAGCTGGACATTCTTCCTGGCCACTCTTTGGGACGCCTTTGGCCCTTCGTGGCTGAAGAACAAACCCGCTATTCGACCGTGGAAAGCGCGCCCGATCGATCTTGCGCAGCCAAACGAGACCAGCACCCACATTTTGCGGATTCCTCCAGCGCTTGCGACGAAGCTGCTCGCCGTAGCACGAAGCCATTCTGTTACGCTGACACCGCTACTTCATGCCCTCATTGTCGCATCCGCAGCCCGACGGATCCCAGAGTCCGAGGCACCGGCATTTGAGCCCTGTTCCCCCATCAGTCTGAGGCGGTACCTGCCCGCCGGTTCAGACTTTGACGCAAAGAACCAGATGCTCGTGCTCGTGACATCAGGAGACCATCCAATCCCGCCTGCTCTCGTCACCAAGCTCCGCTCGTCGTCAGGCAAAGAATACGAAGATGCCATTTGGGAAGTCGCCGCCTCCGTCAAGTCTACCATGAACGACAAGCTCTCGAGTCTGCCACACGACGACCTAGGATCCATGCTGAAATACGTCGGCGACTTTCACGACTTCTTCCGCCAGAAGGACGGCCAGGAACGAAGCAACAGCTGGGAGCTCAGCAACCTGGGAGCCATCGACGGAGGGAGTGGGAGCTGGAAGATGACGCGAGCGGTGTTCTCCCAGTCAGCGTCGGTCTTGGGTCCTGGATTCAGTGCCAACATGGCGGGTGTCGTTGGGGGAGAGATCACGGTCACGTTATGCTGGAACAATTCCGTTGTTGAAGGTTCTTTGGTTGAGGGTGTGATTGCAGATCTGGACGTCTGGTTGCCAGAGATTGCCAGCCGTAAGCCACTATCTATCTGATCACTTCAATATCCGCCTTAGGCTCTTATGCCCATACATGGGGAGTTTTCGTGTATTGTGTGAATTCCACATGGTCCTCCCAGAAGTCCTGTACCATCAATCCAAGATCATTCTCCCATATTCAGAATCACCGTTCCAGTGCTTGCATCACCCTTTGTTACTAAGATTCCCACCTGATCTTTTTGAAGATGTGCCAATACTTGGACGGGATAATCTTCAACTCGTCGGACCTGATCTTGTTCCATTTACCGGAGAGCTCTGGACAGTTCTCGCCCTCCACAATTGTACCAGCAAGGCTCCAGGAGCTCTTTTCCTCCATGGAAAGTCTTCCAGGTGGTTCTCGGGCATCCTTCCAAGCTCCTTGTACTCTCAAAAGTTCCATTGTTCTGATGAGACAATCTGTATTTGTCAAGATGGCATATGGGTTGTCGCCTTCTTCTAGCCATGGAATTTCTCTCACCAGCCTGTCCAAAGTTCTCTTCATCAGTCTATTGTTGATACGTGCGATAGGCTCACCAAAACATTGGTCGTCCAACAGAAACGCGATGCCACGCATTTGAGCAAACTCATAGTCCCTTGTTTTATGGTTGACCAACAGAGAAAGTGTCAATTGCCGGAAGTCGCCAATTGCGTCTTTCTTCAGAGCAGGTTTGATGATCTTAAAGTATTCGGAAAAGTCTTCATCGCAGAAGTCTGCATGATCGACCATAGCGATGAGTCCTCGCGCCAGGATGTCCGTGAGTTCGTTGGTTGATACTTCGTGAGGAATTTCATCGACTGTCCGCTGCGCGAGCTCAAGGAATGCTTTTTTCCTTGCCGCGATTTCATGCTGGTCGTGGTCGCAGCACTTATCTGTGAGTCCACAAAACCGCGTATTCGTACGAGGAGACTCATAATCCCAGCCTGCGAGTACCTCGGTTAAGAGAGCAAGCGGCTGCTCGACCATTTCGAAAGAGTCGATGTCATAATCCCACACTTCCTTCCTTGACCATATCGGCGTGCCACATTCCACCAACTTGAAAGCTGCGGATGCATGGTGCATGCGAAAAGCGATGTAAATAGGGAATTTGGTATAGTCCCAATCTGCTTTCAGAAGCAGCCTCGAATCAGCCCCAAATGAGACCAAGTGGTCAATCATTGACACATCATCACATGTTGCCAAATATTGGAAATCGCTGTTGTGAGCCGTGCCCCACAAGCAGTTTGGATCCATCCCGAGATCCTTTATGAGACGCGTGGCAATTGACTTGTTTCTGGAAGCCACTGCCGTATCGAGTGCTGTGGTGAAAACATTTCTTCCCCAATAAATAGCACAACTGTCCTTCCGATAAGAATGATCCATAAGTATGTGACGAATTCTTGTCGAGCAATCACAATATAGCTCCTCAAGAATTTTCAGCTCGGGTGGCCATGACGCTGGCTGCGGAGGAACCATACAAAGTGGCGACGAACCAGTCGAAAGTAATAGGTGCGCGATGTCGGTCTGCCTATGGCAAATGGCGTAATGTAACGGGGTCCAGACCATGACACCTTTATCGTAGTCCGTACGATAAGTTTCGTGGTAAGGAGAGATGTCGTTCCAGGGGCTCACGCACCCGCAATAAAGTCGCGCCGGAGCCTCGATGTCGACGCCTTTGGAGATCAACCATTCAACGACATGCTGATGGCCATAGATGATGGCGAAGTGGAGGGGTGCTCCCCAGCGGGCGCGCGGAGATAATTGGTATGGAATACCCTTCGCCAACTTTTCATCTGCTGTGAGCGGCTTAACCTGATAGTAGTCAAGATTGGCGCCGTGTTCAGCTGCGAGCTTTAGAGCTCCGAGATTCCCGTTGCTCGCTTCTTCGATCGTCGGGCCTGGATGGTGGTCCTCGACGGCGGCCTTATACAGCAAACAATTGAAGACGCGGTAGAACGTTTGATTCACACGAGCGAGGTTTGAAAGGTCGTGGATGTTGTCGAGGACATCGCCAATCATACTGAGAAGCTCGGAAGGTAGGAAGGCAAAAGTTGCCTCGGTGAGCCTTGCCGTATCCATGTCGATTGTTGAACCACAATGTAGCGAGCAAGAAGAGGGTAGGGGAGTCTTGCCTGAAGAAACGACGGCATGGAATTCTCGCACCGCTAGCATTTTATACTCGAATGGTGTGAAGGGGAGAAAACTTTGAAAGAAAATCAGCAACCGTGATGGCAACGGGTCCAGTGGATCTGCACTGGCTTTTGGAGATAACTCGCGAAACCAACCTCGCAGGCGAACTCGAACCCTAACTCAAGATTTTCGCGGGAGACTTAGACTTGACATTAAATGCAACAAACACAACATAGTGACTAGGCCTGCGGCTCATTTAAGCCAGCACTTCCACATGCAAATTTGTTATAGAGGCCGCATGAGTGAGGGCAAGTGTGATCCAGTTTCTGTGCCACATTTTGGGTGCCTGCAGACATTAGAAGCAGAGGCTTGGTCTCAAAGTCCTCTTCTAATCCACCTTATAATGTCAGCTTCAGAAATTATCACTAGCGAAGGAGATTTCGACAATGCTTCTCACATAACTCGTATTAAGCGTCAAATTAGAACCTTAACATTCAGATTACATCCAGTCCGACCGTTGTTAAAGGTCCCTTGGTGGAGATTGTGATTGCAGATCTAGACATCTGGTTGCGAATTGCGAAAGGTCGCTGGAGGTACTTTGTGTTATTTTCCAACTTAGATGGACATCATGAATGGGCAAGTCATCAAGGTGTCCCTCAGCCATACACCGGTAGCGGCCGGCATCAACTCAGATAAACAAGCTCGCCTAAGTTAAGACGGTAGACACACAATTCAAACGCCCAACCAGTCCAGAGCCCTCACATTCTTACTAACACTGCCATGGGCAAAGGAAACCAGCTTCTGACCCTTGTCTGAGAATCAAATACTGCTCGGTATCTTGGGTGTCAAAATCACACGTGAAATGAAGATTCCAAAAGATGGATAGGTTATCAGTTACTCGGCTACGCGACCCATGAGTGTTGCTTTACATCCCCTTCAAACCCTCTCTTCTCCTGAGGCACTGCTTCTCCAATACATTTGTCCTGCCTTGTGGCTCCAATATCCATTAGGAACTCTCCTATGCAACCCGGTCTGGTATTTGGATGGACGGTCGCTGTGTATTGCCATGTGGCCCCTCGATCCCTGGGCGAATCGTCTGGCCTGCCTCTTGCATAGAAATCGAATTTGACGTCTTTGGGTAGGTAAGCTCCTATAGCCACGTAGATATCGCACTTCTTCACAACATCCCTTGTTAAAGCGACCCCGTTCTCTCCAATCTTTTCATCGGGAAAACCCGAACCTCTAATGATCAACTTTTTGTCACCTGACCCTTCAATGTCGACAATCTCGCAAGAGTTCCAAACCCAGGCTTGTTGAATGCTGTCAATGGTTTTACCATCGAGAGCAACACCGGGGGAAGAGTAGATAGGATCCTGTTTGTCCATCGGCAGAGGCTCGCGCGTTCGACAGTCGGTGTAGACAAATATGATGGCACCATCCGGAATTTGTTTGCCGGACTCGCCATATCAGCCACAACTCATTAATGCAAGCATTCCCACGATGCTCAGTTTGGTCTTTCCCCTTGTCGCACCAAGCTTTAAAATGAGGAGGCCCAGGGAAGGACATCGATCTCTCGACACACATTGACAATGTACCACTGAGGAGACTGTTTAGCTGAGATCATTCAGATACTGAAAAATGCAATTGTCTTACCAGACCACCTTCCTCACGGGAACAAACGTAAAGTAGCCACACTGGCCTTTATCCAACTTGACGGTCCAGGTGCGACCGTATGCAGTGCTGCAACTCTCTGACCACCCGCCAGATATTCCAGCCTTGAATAGTTTGCCGACTTTCGGGGTGACGCTGACACTCCAACCAACGGATGTTGATTCACTTTCTTTCATGGAACACTCGACTGGTGCGTGACAATCAGAATGGGGGAATGGTCGTTCCTCGGCCCATTCGAAGTATGTGCCTACGCACACCAGAGTCAGCCACTTGTTATTCTCAGAATCCCAAAGGCCCGTTGGATTGATACTAACGAATTTGACAAAAGCTGCCGCATTTTGTCTCAATATCCGACCATCTTTCGCATGTGCCGTCTGATTGGATGTGATACTTTGCCTTACAATCTGCTTCGAAGTACTGGTGGTACATTTTTAGAGCATGGTGATCTCTGCTCGAGCAGGGGTCTCCAGAACGTTTCTCAAGGAAAGCGGTCTTGTTGTCGAAACACGCATAACGATCCTCAGGACGGATAGTCCACAGAGGGGGGTCTTTGGGGTCCCAATCAAAGTCCACAGGGCTTTGATAGAGACCAGAAATGTTTGTTGCACTAATTATGCTTATGAAGAACACGGCGAGTAAAATTCGTAGATCCATTCCAATACCAGAAAAGGGGACGGACGGAATGGCCGGCTAAATCGGTGCTTCTCCAGCTGAATGTGGGTAGTTTGCAGAGCGTTACGTCAAGATATCAGAAGAATGGAAGGCAGGACGAGACTGCTTTAGTTGAAGAGTAGAGACGATAGACCACAACGACACGACTCAGAGTGCACAATAACAATAGAAAATAGGGGTGACTGGGAGAATAGGCCCAAGGGAATAGGAAACGTCCTCACTTGCAATGATACCCGAAAATGTAACACTTGAATATGGCAGCGACGAAATCCTTATCTTATAATGAATGTACACTCACTGTCTTCAGGATCTCAAATGTTGACCGGCTGCTTTCTTCCCAACGTAGTACAGACGTGCTAATGAAACTCGTGTACTACATAGTTTCTTTCAGTTCTCATCAGATGAACTGCATCACGAGGACTGCCTTTCAAAGGTATGCTACAATTGGGTCTCAGAATATGCAGTGACCTATCGATTAACGGCGTGGCGTAGGCTGTGTTGCTTAAGACGTAAGGGAGCTATATTACTAAACGCCCTTAGTAATTGTCACGGTCTATGGACCGGTGTT